GTGTTTATTAGTGCGGTGAACAATGTTGCCCGCCGAGCCAGGCGGCTGCAGACGGGCGGACTGGAGGGGAGCGCCACTAACTTGTCACACTCCTCCCCCCCAGTTTGTTTGTTATAAAACAAAACTAAACACAATGCGCACGGCCGACACCATCTCGGTGTCTGGTCATGCGAAGTCCTGGCCGGTCGATGATGAAGATCACCCAGGCGAGTAGCGGTCAGGTGGTCTTCGCTGCCGCATACTCCGCCTGGGCACTGGAGTTGACGGGCCCGGTGTGGCAACGCCGGGCGCTGCCTGTACCGGTCGCGCTCCACCCGGTGGAGCCGCAAGGACCGGATTTGGGAGTGGCACCGGTGCAACTGGTGCCACAGGAGTGGCGACGCTTGTCGCCTCCGGGGTGGGTGGCGCTCCGCTGGCCACGACTGGTGCTGTTGGGCCCCCTGCAGGCTGGTCCTCAGAAGCGACGGCCGAGGGTGGAAGCCAGGTCCCGAGGCGAGGCCTGACATGGTCGGCGTGCCGGTGCCAGGTGGTCCCGTCGGGCATGCGGACGAGCAGCGATGAGGCGCTCGCTGGTGAACCCACATGTCCGGCAGACCAGGGTGGGCCAGGACGGAAGTTCCTGGCGTACACCGACGCTCCCGGCTCCGGCAAAGGCCCGGGACGGCACCCTCGGTCAGCAGCCAGCTTCTGCTTCAGCTGCTTCAGGAGCGCCGTGGACCGGAGGTCTGGATGCAAGACGTCCAGGGGGGTCTTGACCATCCGGCCCAGCAGAAGCTCGCAGGGGGCACGGCCAGTGACCTCGTGAGGTGTGGTCCGGTATTGAAACAGTACCCGGGCCACCTGCGTTCGGAAATCCCCGGGCTGGCTCTTCTTGAGCTTGTCCTTGATGGTCTGGACCACTCGCTCGGCCGCACCATTGGAAGCGGGGTGGTACGGCGGAACCAGCATCCGGCGGATTCCATTCCTCTGCAGCCAGTCCAGGTACTCGGCGCTGGCGAACGCGGGACCATTGTCAGACACGATAATGTCCGGCAATCCCTGCGCCGCGAAGACCTGCCGCAGAGTCGCAATGGTCGCGCTTGCCGAGGGACTGGTGACTGGCAGTGCCTACACCCACTTGGAGAAGGCGTCCACTACCACCAGGAAGTAGTGGCCCTTGAAGGGTCCCGCATAGTCCACGTGCAAGCGGGACCACGGCCTCTGTGGGAACGGCCGGGGGTGATCTCCACGTGGCGCGAGGCTCGCTGGTTCTCCTGGCAGACCTGGCAGCCTTGCACCTGGTGCACGATGTCCTGGTCCAAGCCAGGCCACCAAACGTGCGACCGTGCCACCATTTTAGTCTTTTCAATGCCAGGATGCCCCGCGTGCAGCAGCTGCAGCACCTTGGCCCGCAGACTTTGTGGAATCACCACCCTGGAACCCCACAGGAGGCAGCCTTGCTCCAAGCTCAGCTCGGCGGTCTTGTGGCTGTACGCCTGGTGACGCAGCTCCTCCCCTCGGGAAACCGCCTTGACCACCTGGGACAGGACCGGGTCCCGACTGGTCGCCTGCGCCACCGCAGTCCTGGTGAGCACCCCCGGGTAGGCCCGCTCCAGCAGGAACACATCAGCTGGCTCTGGAACGGCAGCAGGCACCTCCGGCAGGGGCAGGCGGCTCAGGGCGTCGGCAGGTCCTAGGTCCTTCCCAGGGCGGTAGACCAGCTTGTACCTGTAGGCTGCCAGCGTCAAGGCCCAGCGTACCACACGAGGCGATGCTTGCACTGGGACTGCCTTGTCAGGTCCCAGCAGCCCCAGCAGCGGCTTGTGGTCTGTGACTGCCTCGAACTGCCGGCCCCACAGGTACTGATGGAAGCGCTGGACCCCGAAGATGAAAGCCAAGCCTTCCTTGTCGAGCTGGCTGTAGCGTTGCTCCGCCGCATGAAGCCGACGAGAAGCAAACGCCACAGGGTGTTCCTGACCATCCTGACCCCGGTGCGACAGGACGGCTCCTACCCCGTACGGCGACGCATCCACGGTGAGGACTACAGGCTTGGCCGGATCGAAGTGCGCCAGCACTGGAGCCTTAACAACGAGCTCCTTGCTGCGCTGGAAGGCCAAGTCCTGCTCCTTCTTCCAGGCCCACTGCTGCCCGTCACGAAGCAGGCGATGCAGCGGCTCCAGATGCGTCGACAGGTTGGGCAGGAACCTCCTGTAGAAGTTGATGAGGCCGAGGTAGCTCTGAAGCTCCTTCTTGCTCTTGGGCTTCGGCGCCATGAGCACGGCCTCAATCTTGCGGGGTGCCGGGGCCAGGCCAGCCTGGGAGATGATGTGTCCCAGATACTCCACGCTGGGGGTCAGGAACACGCACTTGTCCAGCCTCAGCTTTAGACCGGCGTCCTGCAATCGTGTCAGGACTTTGCGCAGGTTCTGCAGGTGGTCCCCGTCGTCGGTACCGGTAACCAGGATGTCGTCCAAGTACACCGCCACGTGCCTCATGCCCCTGAAGAGGTTGTCCATCTCCCTCTGGAAGATGGCTGGGGCTGAGGCCACGCCGAACGGTAGGCGCGTGTACTGGAAGAGTCCCATGGTAGTCGAAATAATGACATACTTCCGGGCGGCATCCTGGAGCACCAGCTGCTGGTAGGCATCTCGAAGGTCGAGCTTGGAGAACTTCTGTCCCCCGGACAGAGCAGACAAGAGATCTTCTACCCGAGGCAGCGGGTACTTTTCGACGGTAGCGACGGGGTTGATGGTGACCTTGAAGTCCCCGCAGATCCTGACGCGGCCGTCTCGCTTGAGGACTGGGACAATTGGTGCAGCCCACTCGGAAGTCTTGACGGGCACCAGGATACCCTCCCGCTGCAGCCGTTGCAGCTCCTGGGTGACCCCGTCCTTCAGGGCAAACGGCAGCGGACGCGGCTTGAAGAATCGAGGCCGGGTTCCTTCGGGTATGTGGATGCCGACCGTCGTGCCGGCGAAGGTGCCCACCCCCGGCTGGAACAGGGACTGGAAGTCGGTCAGGAGGCTCGGGACGTCTTGCACCACGTGCAGCGCAGCTTCTTGGTACTCCGGCAGCCGAACACCCAGCGAGTGAATCCAGTTTCGGCCCAGCAGCGTCGGCGACGACCCCTTGGTTAAGTAAAGGGGAAGGATTGCCTCCCTGTCGCCAAGGCGAACGCTGACTTGGGCCCGACCCTGGACCTGGGAAAGCTGCCCGGAGTAGCTGCGCAGCATGACGTCTGATGCCTCGATGGACACGCCTGGAAAGGTCCGCTTGAACAGCTTCCCGGGCATGACCGACACGCTGGCCCCTGTGTCCAGCTCCATGGTGATGGGGTGGCCGCAGATCTCAACAGACACCAAGTAAGGTGGCACAGACGAAAGTTTATTCAAATGCCACACGTCGAAGATCTGCGGCTCGTCGGCCACGACGTGGACCCTAGCTGACGACGAACCCGGGCCTGGTGCCGCTCGTCCCCGCCGCGTTTTCTTGCGACGACCACCCTGGCCGCGGGCTTGGCTGGAACCCGGGCTTGAACCAGGCTGCTGCTGCTGCTGCTGCTGGCCGCCGCTCGTCCTCCCCCCTCGGCAGACACGTGCGAGGTGCCCAGTTCTCCCGCACGTGAAACATTGTGCGTGGACGAACTGGCACTGTGAGGGGGAGTGGGCAGCACCGCAGCGGCTGCAGGCACCGCTCCTTGCCGCCATCTTGTTCACCGCCGCTTCCGTCGACGGTGAGCCGGCCGCACGCGCTATCTCGCTGGCGTCCTTCGCTGCTGCTTCCATTGCCAGCGCTGCCTTCACTGCGTCGTCCAGCGAGGGGTCGGGGAGCTCCAAGAGTCTCGTCTGCATGGCGGAGTTGTTGATGCCGCAGACGAACCGGTCCCGGAGTAGCGAGTCCAACTGGTCGCCGAAGGCGCAGGTGCTCGCTAACCCTCGTAGAGCAGCGACGAACTGCCCGAGGGCCTCCCCGTCCCGGCGGCTCCGGTTGTTGAAGCGGAACCGCTCCATAAGCGTGGACGGCGCCGGGCTGAAGTGCGAGCGCAGCGTGGCGAGCAGCTCACCCAGCGTTTTAACGTGCGGCGTGGCCGGCTTGAGGAGGTCGAGCAGGAGGCTGAAGACTCGGGTCCCGCAGCTGGCCAAGAAGATGTCCCGTTGTTTCGCCTCGGGCGTGTCGTTCGCCCGGAAGAACACGTGGACTTGTTCTTGGTAGACAGGCCAGGCGGACCCATCTCCTACGAACGGCTCGAGCCTCCCGTACAGCGGCATGGCGACAGGAGCGGCGGGCGGTGTTGCGACTCTCTCGGCGGCGTGGGCCGAACCGTGCACGTTGGTGGCCTCCAGTGCCACGGTTCCTCGTCGCCAGTGTCACGATCTTTCTCGAACGTGGACGAAGGGGCCGAAGCACCCGCCGAGGAGAGACGACACGCAGCCTGGTTGTGAGGGTGGACGATGACTGACCGGAGCGGCGTTCGCTCAACGGCGTTTATTCGGCGCGGTGAACAATGTTGCCCGCCGAGCCAGGCGGCTGCAGACGGGCGGACTGGAGGGGGGCGCCACTAACTTGTCACAGATTGTTATCCGTCACGAGTATCGTTTTATGCTTTAAGATTTGTTTGGTTTTCGATAGAGCCCATTGCTTCATCTTGAACAAGAAATTAATTAAAAAGGGGAAGGTGTGCCGGGTTCGGGCTCCAAATATTCAGGAACCAATGAACACAGAGGCATAAAACTAGACGAATATTTAAGAGTGACCTTATTTTTTAATGTTGGTATTTTCACTTCCCGGGTCGCTCTCTTCTACTTCTTCATATTTCGATTGCAACGGCCCCTTCAACGGGGGTGAATAACGGCAAGTAGATTCGTTTTGTATGGTAAAGACAATGGCCTCTTGACTGAATTCGTTTTGCCTAGCTTCGTTACTTCCGAAATCACACGACTCACCTCTAAATATGTGATTTCCTTCGGCAGCCTAAAGCACTGCAAGGTAAGAGAGTCTTGCGCTCCTGCGTATCGTTTCAGTGGCACAAAGTGGAGAGTATTCGGAGGTGCAGCGCTTCTATCAAGATGAAGTAATCTTTGTCACAGGTGCGACTGGTTTCATTGGAAAGGTGCGTACCTCCGCTCTAGTCCAACACCTGACAACGTAAAGGAAACAAAAAAAAATATATATGCACACCTCCGGTATTGGAGTAGTCTGGGAGGCTTACTTCTAAAAACGATTCAAGGTAAAGTGTGTATGTTTAGTGCAAACTATCTTGCTGCCAGCCAAAAAATGTTTGATGGCCAGCCAGAAAATGGCTGCTTACGAAATGACGACTTTTCGGCGACAGCTTGAAACTAGGATATTTGGTAATGTCGTTTTGAGGACTAATTATTCGAGTAAATGTATAATTGCAGGAACGTTATCTAAACCCAACCAAATAAACTAATGTATCTTACTACTGAAGCAAGCTAATCTTCTGTAGAGTCCCATAGGTAGTTACAAATCAAAGCCTATGCTTTGATTTGGAGTGGGGTCGGTGACGAAATGTGCTTAAGCCGGGTTGCTCGAGGCGGTGGAAAATATTGTTAAGGAACCGTTGGAAGTTTGAATATTGCAGCTGGAGGTGTTGACAATACAAGTATTTCTTGTCGGAGAGCTTTTTGTGTGGATAGTTTTCAAGAAGCCTGTTAAAGTTTTGCTCTAAAGTTTCTTCGCGCACCTACAATTTTGCTTTACCTAGGTAATACATGAAGAAATATACGTCTTTACTTAGACAGTACTTTGTACATATAGACGTTTAATACATAGTAAATTTTGAAAAATGAATGAAGTGTTAAATAGTCGGGGGTTCACTTCTTCTTCTTTCTCCAATTATAACAAAACTATCATGAACGTACTGGGAAGAAATATAAATGCAATGATTATGGGGCGGTAATATTCATTCGCTGTAAAAATAAATTGGCGTGTCTGGTTGCCGCAAAGACTCAATGTATACGGTGCCATCTATATATAGTATATCAACTTTATACTAGCGAGACTTAATGTGTTTTTTTTTGTTTGAAAACTGGCTTGCATTTAATGTCACATGTAATGTATAAAAGCACGCACGATTCTGCGACGTATATCTTTGTGAATGGTTCCTTCCAGGTTCTCCTTGAAAAATTACTGCGGTCATGCCCAGGAATCAAGCGGATTTACCTGTTGATCCGCCCAAAAAGGGATGTTAGCCCAGCAGGAAGGTTGGAATTCATCTTAAGATTAGCGGTAAGATATCCGACTAACTTGTATCGATGATCCTTAAATTCACGCGAGCACGACCCAAGTACGGCGCGCCTAATAGTGTTTATGCCAGATATTTTTTAGTTTATGAAACTTCCTCATTATGTAAAGGAGCGTACGACATTTATAAATAGCCAGATTACCTTCGCTGTGGTTCGTCCTTGTATAGTGGCCGTAGATTTCACGGTGTTTATAAAGAAAATAGCAAAAAAAAAAGAAAAAAAAAAGAAAATTTTTTTTCTCTGTTCGAAAAGACTGTCTAATGTCTTATAAAGAAGTTTAAACGATCGCTCCTCAAAGGGTGCATTTCATGCATTGGCAGCATTTTGGAGATGAAAGTAACTCTCAATTTCCCCCGCTCTTGACGTATGTTTGAACGTGGGGTATTTAACACTATACGGTGTGCAAGTGTGCAAGTTTGTCTGCTTCTCGCACACCTCGCGCTCTTATTTGCCCTTCAAAGGCGCCCACGTGTGTTTGTTACCCCCTAGACTTTAACCACTCACGTCACGAGGTCGGCTGCCTCGTCATCACGCATTGTCTACACGTTCTCTACGTTGCCATTCGTTTGGCGAGCCCTTCTTTGCGTTTAGTTGCGCAAAAGACGCATTTTTGAACACTTGCTGGCCGTACATTGATATATCTCGAACGTAATAATTTCTAAACGCAACAACTTTTTTTTTTTTTTTTGTACACGTTATTGTGAGAAGCAAGAATTCTTTTTCATGAAATCACCTTGTTGCGTTTTAGGCCCAATCACATAGTGTGCCGGTTGTTACCCCTTTATATCGCATTTTCGGACTACCAATTGCTGCACCAAGTTAAACACAGCCACTTGGTAATATACGCCCAGCAATCACAAAAAAGACCAACAAAACAACAAAGCATATCAGCGGTGAAAAAAAACAAAACAACCTCGTTATGAAGCGCAGCAACGGTGATTTTTTATTAATATATAAAACAAAAAAATGCGCTTAATGAAGCAAAATTGAAGTCGGAAACGCCATGCCTTAACTATATTATACATATATTGTTCCGATCGGAGAGAGCAAGTCATTCTCGAATACCCGCTTTCTCCAGCAATGGCGCGCACAGAACAAACAAAAATGTTCTTTAAAAAGAAGGTGTAATTGTACGAGCGAATAATTTTTTTGTTGTGTGTGTATTGGGGTCCTCCTGCAGTGTTTTGAGCGGTTGCGCCAAGAATATCCGTCAAGTTTAAACAAGCTATCGGTCGTCGAAGGAGACGTGAGGGAAGAAAAATTGGGCTTGAAATCCAGTGACTACGAGCTCCTGGCTTCAGAGGTGTCCATTGTATTTCACGCTGCGGCAACTGTGCGGTTCAACGACTCCCTAAGGTTCGTACCTCGATCTGTGCCTGCCAATATAGTCACTGATAACTTAAAAAACGCTGGGTGTGGCGAGGCCCCTGCATCTCATTATTACTCAGCAACCCATGAGGTTTTTTATAATATTCAAACATATCATTCTGGCTGAGATTACTGACCCATAGCAGGTTTGGGTGGTGCATAAGATCAATATACAGACGAAAGTAATATTTTATAGTAGATTATACAGAACTTAGTAAAAGACATCAAACAGATGATGAAAATAATCCCTGGAGAAGGGGAACAAGAGGGACAGAGGACAAACACAAATCTCCAAACACAGCTAGGTGACTGGTGAGCGACCGAAAAAATCCGCCTGGTCCGGGTATCGAACCCGGGACCTCTTCATTACAGGTGGAGCGCTCTACCAACTGAGCTAACCAGGGGTTAGATGTCAGTAGAGCAAACGGGTTTTATCAGCCGCCACCAGTCTAACACCAAGAAGGGTGAAACTTGCAATTTAAGGTCATTGTTATAATGCAATTAAATGCAAAGGTGCAAGCGAGCTGGACAAGAATGACGAAAATAATCCCTGAAGAAGGGGAACAAGAGGGACAGAGGACAAACACAAATCTCCAAACACAGCTAGGTGACTGGTGAGCGACCGAAAAAATCCGCCTGGTCCGGGTATCGAACCCGGGACCTCTCCATTACAGGTGGAGCGCTCTACCAACTGAGCTAACCGGGGGTTAGATGTCAGTAGAGCGAACGGGTTTTATCAGCCGCCACCAGTCTAACACCAACAAGGGTGAAGCTCGCAATTTAAGGTCATTGTTATAATGCAATTAAATGCAAAGGTGCAAGCGAGCTGGACAAGAATGATGAAAATAATCCCTGGAGAAGGGGAAGAAGAGGGACAGAGGACAAACACAAATCTCCAAACACAGCTAGGTGACTGGTGAGCGACCGAAAAAATCCGCCTGGTCCGGGTATCGAACCCGGGACCTCTCCATTACAGGTGGAGCGCTCTACCAACTGAGCTAACCAGGGGTTAGATGTCAGTAGAGCGAACGGGTTTTATCAGCCGCCACCAGTCTAACACCAACAAGGGTGAAGCTCGCAATTTAAGGTCATTGTTATAATGCAATTAAATGCAAAGGTGCAAGCGAGCTGGACAAGAATGATGAAAATAATCCCTGGAGAAGGGGAAGAAGAGGGACAGAGGACAAACACAAATCTCCAAACACAGCTAGGTGACTGGTGAGCGACCGAAAAAATCCGCCTGGTCCGGGTATCGAACCCGGGACCTCTCCATTACAGGTGGAGCGCTCTACCAACTGAGCTAACCGGGGGTTAGATGTCAGTAGAGCGAACGGGTTTTATCAGCCGCCACCAGTCTAACACCAACAAGGGTGAAGCTCGCAATTTAAGGTCATTGTTATAATGCAATTAAATGCAAAGGTGCAAGCGAGCTGGACAAGAATGATGAAAATAATCCCTGGAGAAGGGGAAGAAGAGGGACAGAGGACAAACACAAATCTCCAAACACAGCTAGGTGACTGGTGAGCGACCGAAAAAATCCGCCTGGTCCGGGTATCGAACCCGGGACCTCTCCATTACAGGTGGAGCGCTCTACCAACTGAGCTAACCAGGGGTTAGATGTCAGTAGAGCGAACGGGTTTTATCAGCCGCCACCAGTCTAACACCAACAAGGGTGAAGCTCGCAATTTAAGGTCATTGTTATAATGCAATTAAATGCAAAGGTGCAAGCGAGCTGGACAAGAATGATGAAAATAATCCCTGGAGAAGGGGAAGAAGAGGGACAGAGGACAAACACAAATCTCCAAACACAGCTAGGTGACTGGTGAGCGACCGAAAAAATCCGCCTGGTCCGGGTATCGAACCCGGGACCTCTCCATTACAGGTGGAGCGCTCTACCAACTGAGCTAACCGGGGGTTAAATGTCAGTAGAGCGAACGGGTTTTATCAGCCGCCACCAGTCTAACACCAACAAGGGTGAAGCTCGCAATTTAAGGTCATTGTTATAATGCAATTAAATGCAAAGGTGCAAGCGAGCTGGACAAGAATGATGAAAATAATCCCTGGAGAAGGGGAAGAAAAGGGACAGAGGACAAACACAAATCTCCAAACACAGCTAGGTGACTGGTGAGCGACCGAAAAAATCCGCCTGGTCCGGGTATCGAACCCGGGACCTCTCCATTACAGGTGGAGCGCTCTACCAACTGAGCTAACCAGGGGTTAGATGTCAGTAGAGCAAACGGGTTTTATCAGCTGCCACCAGTCTAACACCAACAAGGGTGAAGCTTGCAATTTAAGGTCATTGTTATAATGCAATTAAATGCAAAGGTGCAAGCGAGCAAACAGACTTTGAGATAAAATTTAAACATGGAATTTCAGGATAAAATACTTATATCTGTTTCCTGAAACAAATGGCGGTCGCATCAAAAGCACGTGGGAGTCATTCTTTTACATACAAGTTTCACTAAGCAAAAAAAAAAAAAAAGAAACAAATAAACGCTGTCACAGTCCGTGCCGTGACCTCTGGAGGAAGGTTGTTCCCATTCTCAATGGAGATGGGGAAGAATGATTGCTCGAAACACTCTGTACGACAGAAGTGCATGCGTCAACGAACTTCTGTGAACGCCTCCTCGAGACAATCTTGGTTTTAAGCATTTAACTGTGTCAATATTACAAGCATTGTTAAATAATGGAAACAATAAAACCATCTACGTGTGCCAGCGCCTTTTCTTTACTGGGTCCATCTTGGCTTGTCCATAGAGAATAATAATGCTAACAGAATTAGGGGTGCTATATTTATTTTACAGGGTGTATTGTTTTAAGCTTTACAGATTTGCTTTAAAAAAGCCGTGAAAGTTACACTTATGCGGTCTGTGCAGGTGAGTTATACGGCCAGGGGGACATTATGTGGGTGGCTAATTTTTGCGATAAGTTTGCTAATGAAATAAAATTTGTTAATTAACTTTTTAGTTAGTGAAAATATACATATGGTCTAAATTAGAAACTTAAGCAGGCGCAAAGCTAGCAGTGGCAAAACTCGGATGATTAGATTATCATCCGAGGCCCAAAATCCTGCTGTTCATTATGGGATTTTCTAGGCGTATCCCCACAGAAGAAGCTGGTACAAAAGAAGACCCCCCCCCCCCCCCCCGTTTTCCCCGCCTCGCCATGCACCAAGACACAACCAAAAAAAAAAAAAACAAAAAAAAAAAAACGGATAGGAGGACTTTCCGCCAGGCGAAAGAAGATTTCTGCAATTTAAATGAAATTAGGCATTCCGGTTCCTTCGCGCAATGCTGTCTTGAGGCGGAACACAATAATTGTTTACTTAACGCGCTCACTTTTTCCGTTAAAACTGCTTTACGCACGAATACGCCGACCAGAACCATGCGGTATAAGCAGCACCAAGGCACCAAAGCCGACAGTCCCTGCCACCGTCTCCGCGCCGCCACCGCCGCCGCCGCCGACCCCGCTCCTCTGGTTCTTCGTTCGACCGCGAGGGGGCGAGCGATGGAACGGAGTTGCGAATACATGTCTGAAAGTTTCAATTCTACGCAGTGCATAATATCTACAGGTGCGGACAATAGAAGAATTTTGATTTTTCAAGGTCATTCATTGTAACGAGACGCGACGAATTTCGTGAATGAGGGAGTATGTTAATAATACTTTCTGTGTGATACAAGCTTCTTTGTGAGCTAGGAAAGGAGCCATGTTACAGCGAAGCTGTTATGTGCTAGGATTTGAAAAAAAAAATGCGTCCAGAGATGTTAAAAAAAAAAAAAAAACTCCCGTTGAAACGGCGCATTTTCGTTCTGATTGGTCGTGGCAAGTATAAATAAAAAGAGGCTGGAACCCGCGTGAGTCAGCCTTCCTTGGCGTTATTTTATAGTGAGGTCCTAATGCCTTGTTATCATCTCCGGCCGCCGACTTATCTCAGCTAAAAGTGCGCTGTGACGAGGCTGAGGGCGGAACGCGCCGATCTAACCTTTTTCCGCTTCCGCAATGCTGATAAAGAGACTTGGACTCTTTATCACCATCGCTGATAAAGAGCCCAAGTCGCTGTAAAACAAAAAATAGTCATATACTAACACGTATGCATATACCAACGACCAAAAACAGAACTTGTATCGACATTACGTTTAGCAAGAACGTATCTGAAGTCAAAATGCCACCAATGGCAGTTTACCATAGTGACCGTAAGGCAATGATCACTTTAGTCACTAAGAGATAAATTAAGGCAATGAGACAACGAAGTCGTGTTCGTGTGTTCATTACAATGATATGTAAATCGTATAGATGTATAGTTGTCGTAAATTTATCGTGAAAATAAAAGCTTCGCTGGTCCTCTATCTCCACGTGAAGTGGATGGGCTTTATTTTTTTTTAAGTGTGATGTGCATGAGAAGATTTGCATGTCGACGAAGCACCATTTGCAAACTATTTACCTAGTGCGGACTAGAGTCCGAAAAATACTGTAGTTTTAATCAAAAACACACGTGTCATAAAATTTACATTTAATCAGTATGTGCTGTGACCTCACTGCAGCGGAGGCCATTTTCTCGCCGGTTCTGTATAATGAATGGGAAAATAAAATGTATACAAGCCATTGCAAATTAGAACAGAGAACGCAGTCACGCTACAAAGCCATGGCCGGCATTGATCAGCGATCAGGCGTTATACGCCAAGCACGTACAGCCGCTGCGCGAAGGACTATTTTGCGCATGTGCCAGCCCCGATACCAAAATGAAAGGGGTTCTCTTGGCAGATGGTGCAACAGGTACGCGAGGTCACGCTATCCGTTGGTTTCACTGTCGAAACATCCACTAGGCCGGGTCTGATGTGTTATCGTGTTTCGTGGTGTAAACACTAAACTATCGTACTGTGTCCTGGTGTAAACACCAGATCCACCTAATGTGTTTTAATGTTCACACCAGACCCACCTAATGTTTTTTGGTGTGCACATCAGACCCACCTAATGTGTATTAGTGTGCACATCAGATTCACCTAGTGTGTTTTGGTGTGCACATCAGACCCGCCTACTGTGTTTCGGTGTGCACATCAGAATGGTTTGGTGTGTTTTGTTGTGCACATCAGAGCGACCTGCGTGTTTTGGTGTGCACACCACCTGATGTATCCTGATGTGCACATCAGAGCGGCTCTGAGTAAAAGTCAGAAAACACCAGAACCCGGTCTCGTGGATTTTCGAAAGGGTCATTTTGTTGTGTTGAGGATGCCCGTGTTGGTTATATGACTCGGTATATTGGTTTCAGAAACGCTGTGAACATTAACATGGAAGGCACTAAAAGTGTGCTGGATCTTTGCCACAACATCAAAAATTTGAAGGTGAGTTAATTCTCAATCATAGAGAGGTACATAATATTAGCATAAAAATGTGCACTCGTGTGCGCTCCTAACTTGCGCATGTTGAGTTATGAAATAAGAGAAGGAAATTGATATACTTCATTTGCATATGCACTCTGCAACTTCTTTGAATATTTTGTCAATACTTATAATTTGGTGATAGTATAGAACATTATGTTAGGAGTCACTGACACGAACTACAGATATATTCAAAATGGAAGGCGTTTTATAAGGGCCGGGTTCGTGCACATTGGTATTTTCGGTTAAGATTTATGTACCCTTGTACTTGCAAATGCAATGAAGTCTATGGATAACCATTCTGCATTCTTGGAGTCAAATCTAAGAAACAAATGTTGAATGAAGTTGAATGTTGTCACGAACGACAGGTGAGGAGGCTGGAATACACTCAAATAACTAAGGGTGGAACGTGGTGAATTTACGGCAAGACAAAAGGCAATACGCGGAGTCACGGACTTTAATGTTGGCTTAAGAGCAGCATCGAACACCAGCGATGAACTTTCTACTACTAAAATGTACAGTATTTTTCAAGCAGATACTACGGTCAAGATGATATTAGACTTAGAAAAAGATAACTTATGCGATTGAACTGGAAAGTACCAGCAGGGCAACATTCCCCGTCCAGGGCTGACTGGTACACGCTACATTATCTCTCTTCTAAACTTTACTATACCTCTACGCTGACAGAGCGGTGGGAGGTACGCGCCCGCCGGACCAGTCTCTCTTTCATCACCTGACCCCTCTTTATGCGTGTCGTTTCGGGCGGGACTGTGATCACGTGACGTAAACTAGACAGATGGCTGGTCTAACGAGCATAAGTAGCTTCAATCACTCTGTCAACTTGGAGGTGAAGGGAGTGTGAAAAACAAGTCGTCTTGACAGAAAGCAACCAAAACCTCTATCGTGTCGTCATTGCATTGACGAATTGTCCAATCCAGGCTTTTGGTTAGCTTGTATTTCTGTCGAACATTGCTCTGAAGCTTTGATGGAAGTTACTTGGATAGAAGCCACGTGTCTACATTAAAGGGAAACTAAAGCGGTTCTGTATTAAGAAGAAAACATTTAAATCGTCTTCATTTAGCCTCCAGGATAACGAATACGAAAAATAACATTTCAGTTTGATGGGTCAAGTCGCCACAACAGCGCTTTCGTATTTGCGCTGATGCCCCTACCTCCACCCGACTCGTTCGTTGGGAGGAGGGAATCGTGGCGTGTTATACGAAGATCTAAACGCCTTCAAGCCTTCCGCAAGTTTTATTGGAGTAATCAAAAATGCTGTATACGTGCCCTTACAAGGGGCACGCGCAAGGCCTTTGAAACCCATGGGTATAACGTCACACCCAGTAATTGGTTTTTCGTTTTTTTTGTGTCTATTGATATGACCGGTTCAAATGCTTTTGATAGTCAAATTCACAAGACAAAAATACGCTAGAATTCACCTCTAACCCGTTTTTAGAAGAACCTTTTCCGCTTCCTTTCAAGTACTTCCCCGTGAGTTCACATCGAAAGTGTAAAATGAATCACATACAGCAGCTGCAAGTTAACATTCTATTTTTCTTTTAGGCCGTTGTGCATATATCGACAGCATTCGTCAACAGCGATCTCGACGTCCTGGAGGAACGAGTGTACCCTCCGACGGTAAAGCCAGATGACATCATTTCGCTCACAAAGTAAGCTTATTTGTCCCCTATACAAAAATAAGAAAATCCTTTAACTTAGCAAAGCCCGAAGGCTACGGTTCGAGTGAGCCAACTGGCGCGTGGAAGGAAGACACGTGATAATATCTCGCTATTGCGTGTAGCACAGAGAGAGAGAGAGAAAGAAAACAATCAGCTTTTTATTATGTTGAGTGACAGGCTAATTTTATAAGGGCACGAAAGCAACGTCTGGGACACAAGAAAGGGTCCGGCAAGAGGAGAGTTTGTCCTCCTCTTCTTCTCTAATCGTCTATGTTCGGTTACGGAATGGTTTGGGTACTTTTCGTTGCGTTGCACTCGTGTGCCCCCCCCCCCCCCCCCCCCCCCAGGATGATCAGAATAATTGAAACAATTTTAAATTTAAGCAAGCTTCATGATGTCGTGAGATCATGTGAGAAGCTATGAATCGCCATTCGGAAGTCAGCCGCGTGTGGCGACAGTCGTTTACTACCGCATGCTCTCTTGAGTCCTACTTGGTCAAGATGCTTGCGCTCCTGTTCACCTCCCCCTGCGTTTACCGAGAAAAAGAGTGGGGTGCGGATCGTATGGTGGGGGCCTCCATTCCACTGCACCGCTCAGTGAATCGCATTATTTATGATTAAGTATGATTAATTACGACAAAGTTGCCTTCTCCATGCTTTGCACGCTCATGCACTGCCTGGTATGGGCAATGTGCGGTTGAGTACGGTTGCTGGTACCTAATCCGGCTTGCAACAGATTTTCGTAAAGTTCGAGCGACACCCTTTCCACATGAAACTCAACCATAGACACATTGTTTGTTTAAAGTTTGGATATCGTGTTCGTGCTAACTTTGACGCCAAGTGTTTAAAAGTCCCTAGTATTCACCAGGGCGTTTTAGGCCTAGGCTATTAAGACTAACCCGCAACTCGCTGTTCAGAAAAATAGTTCTTCGTCTTGCTTTAAAATAAAGGTAGGGTTGCCGTATGGTCTGAATTCTCTTCCACGAACCTTCGTGATTCCGGTTTTGTGACAGAAGTTAGGAAACTTAGTTCTAAACAAAGTGTTAACGTCAATTGTTTTCATCTTTGCGCATCCTGATGCATTACGAGCAGAACACTGAGCGAGGTCGATCTCGTTAAAACAACACCGGAGCTGCTCGGAGGCAAACCCAACACCTACGTCCTCACCAAGACTCTGGCTGAGGCCATCATTGCAGATCAAGGCCGAGGCCTTCCGTTGGTCATCGTCCGGCCTTCCATTGTGTCTGCGTCATGGAAAGATCCATTTCCGGTACGTCGCAACGATTAATAATAGGGAGTTGTAGTAGATCGTTTTGTCCTCCGCTAAGGTATCCCCGAAGAAAACGGCGCAGCTGCGCATGCGCGCCGCCAGCCTTGTCTGCATAGTTCAAGGTCTTGTGGCGGATTACGGAGCGCTATCCGGGTGCTTAGCTGGCTGTGAAAACGGTCTACTACAATTCCCTATTGTGCTTTGACTGAAAACTTTGAATAGCGTTTTGTCTGTAAAGCAATGTCTCGAATTCTTGACACGTCTGTTCGTTTTGAAAGTGTCTTTTAAGAGAATTGCTGAGTCGAACGTGGTGAGCCCGTCAAAAATTGAATGCGATATGTTTTTCTTTTTTATATTGATATTAGAGGCATACAGTTAAAGACGACAACTTTGTATATATACTTACCAACAATAATATAAGCTAACTGGATAAAAATTTTGAAGCCTTTTTTCACACTATGCTATCTTTAAGCATAATGTCTTTGCGAAATATTAAATTATTGCCCGAGATAAATACCAAGTTTAATTTTTAACTCATCAATGGAGATTATATTGGCCTTCGTAATTGTTCCCAGATGCTGATAGAACTTATGGTCGGGCGTCAGCTTTGACGAAATTAACCGAATTCCGCCTTTTACCTCTTTTTTTTTTCTATATTTGAAGATTATATCTTAATAGCGTCAAGCATAGTACAGAACCGTACGGCGATGAAGGAATGAACATTACAGCACCATGCTTGAAAGGAGTATTTTATCTGCATTTGCAAATATTTCATATTTCTAACTTCACGGAAGAACCGCTCTTCATTAACGTGGCTAGATATTAGTACCATTATGAAAATAAAAACGATTGAACGACCGGTTAGAATTCCTACCAGAGGTTATTGATAATGTGTTCTTCAGTTGATTGTAATTTTAAGAACCCAGACGGATAGGTTTCCAGGTGACAGGGGAGATTGCATCAGTACCAGTTCAATGTCTAACACGAGATGGGTAAGAAATGCATGAGCGCCAGTGCACTCTCACGAATCTCTCACGCACAAAAAAAGAAAAAAAAAACAAAGAAATAAAAATAAAACTGTGTCCATGTCTGGGGACCGAGGGGCACTCGGACCTGAATTGCACAGGATATGGGTCAATGATCAAGCTGCAGGCGGTGATTAAGCTTTCACTTACCGACGCCGGTGCCACTGATTGGAGTGACAATACTCTCCGTTAGATCAAAATAAACGATGACGACATTTGAACCTTTGTGCACTGCAAACAAGGAGGTGAAAGTTTAGGATGGTGCCTTACCGCACCACGCAATTCTGTCGTCGAAGCTTACCGAACTCAGTGGGATTCTCTCCTCATAAAAAAGGACCCCTGTTTCATTTCTGGGAAATTAACGATGGAGTACACGTGTCTCTTTAAGCAGTCCTGCTACAATTGATAGACAAAATTGTATTACGGTTTCTACTCGGACAGTTCACGATAGTCCAAACAGTGGACAGTTTATGGTTCACAAAACTCTGCCGGGAGTGCGAGACAGATTCTACTGGTTTAGAGCCACCCATGACATGGGCGAGTGACACAAAAGTTCACTATAGAATGATGAAAGGACCTCCCTTCATATGTTGGCGAAATATAATAACTTAAAACATTGGTGTCCCATTTGAGGTAGTGGCCGTTGACGTGGCTGAAGAACTACCAGAGACAACAGGGGTTAAGCTGGATGGTGCGACTTAATTTTAAGTCGCACCATCCAGCGAGTCATAAGGCATCAGTCGTTGCAACACTCATGTCCAGGGCGGCTGTTATCTGTTCTTCAGAAACTGACAGAAAAAGCGAGGGGCAGAGTGTGATCGCTGATTTGAGAAAGAACGGCTACCCGACAAGATTCATCCGACAAGTCACCAAACGTACGGTTCACGCTCGCCAAAACCCACAACCAAAGGGAGCTGCGCCGCATCGCCCCATCACGCGCATCAGCGTTCCCTACGTTCAGGGTACTAGCGAAGCACTATCACGGGTGCTTGCAAAACAAGGCATTCACGTGGCTCACAAACCGGTATCCACTCTTGGACGGTTCATGCCAAGACCAAAAGATCGCCCCCCGAAGGAAAAAGCACCGGGAATTGTTTACCGGATCCCCTGCTTAAAATGTCCTGCATCTTATATCGGCGAAACAAAGAACTTCATAGAAAGGTTACGCCAGCACAAGAACGATGTACGCAAATTCGACCGAGAACGCAGTGCTCTTGCGGAGCACTGTGACACCTTTGACCATCCGATAGACTTCGCGAACGCGTCCGTTCTTGATGTTGAAACCAATCTCAGAAAAAGACATCACCTTGAATCATGGCACATCCAAAATACACCAGGAAACATCAACAGATCTATGGGTACCTTACCATCTGTTTATGTGAGCGGACTAAGACACGTGATTAGAAAAAGACTGGATGGCAAGGCGGAAGCGCGATCAGAAAATATTCGTATCACCAAAGAAGACGAGGCTGCTCCCACGCACGAGATCAATCGCCCCTGAAGAAGAAACCGAACTGGTTTTGAAACGTTGGGTCCGAGTTTAATTTTTGGTTGGAGTCAAATATTTTTCCATTCCGGTAACTTATAATGTTTGGGGATTCATTTCAAAATGAACCAGAAGTTTTCTTGGTTCGGACATACGATGCAGAGACCCTCATTCGAAGATTTCTTCACAACATTGTATCGGGAAACAGAGTGCCCCTGGAAGTTCATAAAAAAACGCACCTTGGAGTTGCAAACTTTGAAGGATTTGTGCGCATCGCTTGCCATGAAGGAAACCAAAACAACATCACTACATTCAGGGTCGAACAGAATGAATCGCTTTCTTAGGCAAGGCCTCTATCTGTCATCAAACATCAGGATACCTGATTAAAATAAGAACACCGACTTCACATAACAAGAAAAACAACTTCATTAAACGTTTCGCTTCCCATGCGGGATGCATCATCAGTACATACACAGGAATGAGAGAGCTTCGGTCAACGCAGTCCTATTTATCGGGGAGGTCCATATAAGCTTCCGGGAGGGGATCACGGTTCTTGTTGCACGCCGTCTTATCTCCGCGGATGAACCATGACTCAAGTAGTTTGCGTGGGCCCCACCTATCCTCCTTCGCCAAGGTCGTCGCGGCTGTGAAGTCAAAGGTGTGTCCTGTGGTCCACGCGTGGTCGACCAGCTCCGTCTTGAGACGGGTGGCGTTCGTGGAATGCTTGACGTCACGTTGGTGTTCTTTCATCCTGGTTATCTTCTTGCGTCCGGTCTCTCCAATGTACGAAGAGCCGCAGTCCTGGCAGGGGATCTTGTACACAATGCCTTTCTCGGTATCCGCAGGGGTGGGGTCCTTTGGCTTAGACACAATGCTTGCTATAGTTCGGTAATACCTACAGGTTTTAGGGCGCGGCTTAGCGACTCAGACACTCCCTTAACGTACGGAATGCACAAGACATTACGTTCTTTGTCGGCTGGATTGGAGTGCGTTTTTCGTTTCGTCTGGTTGATTACCTCATCTACAAAGCGCCCGGGGCAGTTTCGCTTTTGCAGAGACTCTTGTACACGTGCCAGCTCATTAGCGCAATAGGTAGCGTTAGTTAACTGGCTCCTTTCTATATATGCTTCCAACCGTTCAGCTGTCCATTCAGAAACAAAGTGCACACCGTCAGTGGTGCTAATGGGCATAGGTCTACGGCTACCTACGGACGCCGTATTCGGTACTCCGGTGGTGCCACCACTGGAGGTCGAAAATATTCACTTCGATTAGGCTATCCATTTGTTCAAAAAATAGAATGTGTCCATTGTTTTGCAAAAAGGCGTTCGTAACTCAGCATAACAACGGAAAGAACCACAACAGTTTAAATACACCAGGTCACCAATAGAAACCAGGAGATTTGCTGCGTCTGTGAAGTCCACGTTAGACCAAAAGTCGCAATGATGTAATCGAAAACTACTTGGGTGGCACCTATGAGATCACCAAGAAACTGAATGAATTCAGCAATCGAATTTGTAATGCAGAAAACCGGAAACCGATCGTTTCACGCCGTATCGCCCTAAGTGAGGCTTTGCGCAGTCTTCGGGACGAGGTGGGTCTTGGCAGGGAAGGGTGCAGTGTTCTGGAAAACGGCGACTGGCACAATACAATAAAGAAGGCAAGAAAGCGTGTGTGTGTCGGAAAATTTACGTTATCTTGAGAGCGGAATACATAAAAAAAAGGCTTTTGTTAAGCTTGGTTTGCAATCCGGATGGGTGCATACTTTTTTGTTAGAAACTTTAAATAGTCATAAACTTTCGTTACTAAGTCGAACTTGGTATTTTATAATATTTGATGTGCAAGCTGACTCAGTTTAAGTATTAGATCCGGACAATTTACCCTATAATTAGTCCCAGCTTGCCAGTGAGAATACGACAAAAATGTGGGGAAAAAACTGCTTCAACATTTTTGTTGTGCAGCCTGACTCCGCTAAAACGGTGTATGAACTAAAAGGGGGCTGTTTACAGTATAATTAGGTCATGTTTGTCAGTGAAGGGAGCACTAAACACTTCCGCTTGACACATCTAAAGTGATATATTAACTTAAACCATGCAATTTACGTTCTATTTAGTCAAGGCTTTTCAGTGGTACTGGCGATAAAATTGACGAACTTCACGTATATTTGCTCTTCCGCCTCGCTCTGCTGAAGCTGTATATGGATTCCAACTGGACACTTGAATTACAATTAATCCACGCATGCCAGTGCAACTAGCTGTAAATTTTGGGTAGAACTTGACCATTTAAGATATTTGCTCTGCAGTGTTGGATTTTAATAATGCTTTTAGTTTGGAATGACTGAAATTCTCTAGTACTTGGCGCTTCAAGATATTTTCCTTGCTTTCTGTCTCAGCTCAAATGGTCTCGAAACCCAAAACGGGGCAGATTACATTTAAATGATCTGTTTTTGACTGGGAATGCCTGTCAAAATTCGATAGAACTTGACGTTTTAAGATATTTGCATTGCAGTCTGTATCAGCTCGATGGTATAGGAACTCAAACGGGACAGTTTGGGTTTTAATAATTCATGCCTTTAACTAATAATGGCTGTAAAAGTTTGATAGAAATTGACGTTTTAATACATATTTTTTGCAGTTTATCTCAGCTCAAAAGGTATATGAATTTAAATGTGAGATTTTAGATTTTATTAATTCTTCCTTTTAACTTGGAATGACTGTAGACATTAGATTGAGTTTGACGTTTTAGGATATTTTCCCTGCAGCTTGTCGCGGCTCAAAGCGTACAGTAACCCAACCAGGGGCCGTTTACATTTTAATGATCCCACTTTAAATTGGGAATTGCTATAAGAATTGGATTTACCTTGTTGCTTTAGGATTTGGGGCTTGCAGTGTGCTCACTTCGTATGTTACATATAAGCGTAAACGAGAACTTTACATTATGATTATTCCGTGCTTGTCAGCTAAAATTATGATTTAAATAACATTAATCACATTTGTATTTTTATCAGGACTTCATGCTCACAAAATAATCAGCCTGTGTATAGTCTTGACAAAGCTCGCATTGTGAAAAAATCTTTATCTGCCAATTAGCCACAGGCTTGATATTCCTGTTTTTGTATTGTGACTGTTGTTTTAAATGATTTTGCAGAATTTGTTGGGTTAGAATAACTACCTTTGGATAGTGCATTTTATTCAATGCATAATTAACTGAACCTTTTTTCTCTCTATTAATTTTATTTGATACCGTTTGTATTAACGAAGAGATCCAATTTCATGTCGGGTTGTGGCGATATCATATTGTCAAAAAAGCTGTGCAACAGTTTCAGTGCTTTGCATAAATATTTTGGGATTTGGCGTCTCGACCTTTCTGAAATAAACAACAAAAAACCGCTTTTGCCTGCATGCCCTAGTTTTTATTTTAAAAATGGACAAAGATTGAGGTTTTTGGCACCTCTCAACTCCTTCACCATCTTCCGAGTCACGTGCGCTGTGATGTCATTGGGGTGGCGCGGGGTTTTGGTGAAGCTCTCTCTCTCTAGAGCCATCAGTGAGCAGCCAGAGCTCATCCGCTCGCGACCGCGTGACCACGTGCTGTCAGGCGCCGCGCGAACAATATGGTGAAAGGAGGAAAGTCTCATCCGGGTCCGGCCATACCCTCCCGGCTCTGTCCCCCTCCCCCTCCGGCTTCCGGCGGCTGTTCCACTGTTAGCGTTAGCAGAGAGAGCTGACGGTTTTGTGGACCTAGGATAGATGGCGCCACTATAACTCCGTATAATAAAAGTTTTGTCGATGATACCAGGTTTCTGACGCATTTATATGTATGTTGAAACGACAAGATTTACAGAAAAGTTACCTTTTTATCGAGCAGGTATTCGTACAACTTGCTACCTTTCTAAAGGACCCCCATTGACGTCATGCCGCGTGTTTCTCATGGCCGCCACTCGCGGCTGCAGGTCGAGGAATATTCTAATTTTTGCCTCGCGATTACGCGGTGGAATCGCAACATTTCGAAGGAAGGAGGTGTGTTTTCTCTCCTTTTTGACAAGGTAAACAGTGTCAAAAGTACAAGATGCCAATTCTTTCAACGTTAAAATCGTTGCACAGCTCCTTTAAATAGCATATTGTTATACCTAGTGTTTTTTTTTTGTAATATCTTCAAAATATTTACAAAGAACGTATTTTGCTTGTTTGTTAAACGAAACAGATTCCGTATATTCAGTGTCTTTATTTCAGCACAAGTACGGCGTTTGAATGAAATTGTATTTCTTGCCATTGCATACAAGCGTCATACAAGCCTCACAGGCTTTAACGGACTCTATCATCCTACTTAAAAATGTACAAACATATAAAATATAGTGTATATCCCCTAATGTTTCAACATACCTGCTGTGGAAACTGACTCAGCTCAAGTGGCCTATGCTATCTAACGGGAAAGAGCTTGCGTTATAATTTGTCCATGCTCGTCATTGTCCATGCTTGCCAGCGAAGCTCTTGCGATTTCGTAGGGCTGGGTGGAAGGACTAAGTGGAGGAAACGGCATGCTGGCTTCAGTGAGTATAATTTCGCAGCACATCCTCGGCACCTTCCATACTACACGTCTACACTTTTATCCCACTGGTATAAATGTCATCGATCAAATAATGCGCAAGTGTACCGTGTACTGCCTCTAAGAACCGCAGGGAGGACAGTGCCCATCTTCGGGCCTTGTGTCTCTAAAGCCTGTCTCTCTCACGATTGGCTCATAGAAGAATAAACACCGAGTTCTATTACATTAAATTAGGTTATGCGTTTCTAACCTCTACCCGGTTTCCTTCCATGCCGCTTTGTTCTTACAAAATGAGGAGAAGCTTATCCCGTTGGTGGAGGCCGATTTCCGATACGCGGACGAGTTGAAACACATGGGCCGTGTTCCAAAATTTACTCGATCTTACTCCAGGGTTTTGTACCCTTGGCGTTCTAAAATCTACCCGCGTCCAGCGTTTTTCAATCTGTGCTGTCACGTGACACGATCCGCCGGAGTAACTCGGATCCATTCGGGTAAGATTTGGAACACAGCCATCTAGTCCAATACATCATCAAAGTATGTGCCCAACAATGGCAGACTCGGATATTGGTGCGGATGCTACTAGACGACGCGCACTTTTCAAAAATGTCTATTCACGAAGCGGTAAGTAGATACTTTGTAAAAACTAACTGCCGAAAGGACTAAGAGCAGGATATTATTAGGGCTCTTAATCGTTTTTTTTTACTTTTTTTTGTGTTGATTTTAACTCGTGAAGACAAGCTCGTCTGGAAGTCAGCCTCCCTTCAATTGTGTACAATTTCAATATACGAATAATCTCCATGGTAGATAGGGCAAGGCAGAAAGAAACTTCGTCTCCCTCCTGTCGTGTACAATCGCTGTGTGGCCCTTTTTCTTTATTAAACACAGGCACTGTTAGGTGTGATGAAAGCCGTCATTGCGGACAAAACTGCAGTCATGGACCTCATTCCAGTAGATGTCGTGGCCAATGTGCTCATTTTAGCAGCCTGCCAAGCACCACAAGACGAGAGGTAGGACCACTTTGAGGTTGTTTCGGATCCAAACAACTTAGGCATTGATTATGCTTGTCCTTAATTGCCATTGATATTTAAGAAATATGGTGTTTGTATAATGGAGGAGTCGGTTGACTGTACAGAAATTACGCTTCCCTGGTTTTAATGAACATTGATTTGTTTCAGTTGATATTCCAGAGTAATTAAACTTCAGACGTGGACCGCGTCCTGAGCCTACATAGCTTTCAACATGCCAAGTCATGTCTCATTTTTTTTGTCAGATAACTGCATTTTTAGCGCATTGCAGAGTGAAGGGCTGTCAAACAGTACAGGATTTCTACTGTGCACGGCCAAAAAAAAGTCTGCACGCTTCTTAAAGAAAGAAAAAAAGAAACTCTGACGTTTCAGCGCGCAGCATACGTTTTCAGTTAGGACATCAACCGCGCCAACAGCGCGGCTGTCCTCCTCGCCTTCTTGTTTTCGGGTACTCTCCTTTCTTGTTTCCGGGAGGTCGGGGCAGTCGGGGGTTGAGAACAGCAGAGACCTTGGCGAACAGCCGGACGAGTGCGTGAGGGGCCACGTCCTGGTCTACGCCATGAGTGCACCCCGCGGTTTCCTGCAAGGTCGCCTAGCAAAGGGTTTCTTTCCCCTCGGCAGAAAACGGCCGAGCGCAGCCAAAGTAAAGTGAACTAGAGGAGGGGTAGTGAGATCAGGCGCCGGCGCGCGCCATGCATTGCTGTGAAACGGCGCATGTGGAAAGGTCCCGGATGTACGCGGTGGCGCTGCGGACGTAGTGGCTGTAGGATCCGACCGCCTGCGAGCGTTCCGGAGGCCCTGAGCGCGCAGCTTCGGCTTGCGTTTGGTCGATTTTGCAGCGTTTGCAGCTCAAAGTTTGCCCCCATTTTGAACCGCTCTTCACCCCGTGTTACCCGTGTCTGCTGTCGTTTATGTCCAATGAAGTACCATGCCGAATCGACGTCGACAACGCCACTGCTTCGCTCCGGGGTGCCAGACAGGCTATCAATGGCGGAAAGGTGAGCAGCCGTCGCTGTTCTCAGTACCCAAGGAGGAAGAACAAAGAAAACTTTGGGAACGGAACTTGCATCGCAAGGATAAGCTCCTCGACGAAACGTGTTCGGTGTGTGAGCTTCATTTTGAGCCATCGTTTATAACGCGAGACTACGTTCACGTTGTAAACCGAGAAGAGGTGCGCATTCCGCGCGGAAAGCCGCAGCTCTTGCCTGGCGCTGTGCCGACGTTGCTGCCGAATGCTCCGAGCTACCTGTCAAAGAAGACGTCGCAGCCGAGGCCCCCGAGAAAGCGAAAGAACGCCGATGCTTCCTCAGTTGACGGCAAAAAAAAGCAAAACACTGCCTCTCCAACTGCCTGCAGCAGCACTGGCAGCAGCACACCGGTTGCAGACGATACCGGGGCGTTTGATGAAGCTGATGAAGCCTGTATGCCCGAAGAATACTCCAAGCTGTGTGTCCCCTCCGAGTACTGGAGCTGTCACCGAGTTCCGAGCCTCAGTGGTCTCGTGTATTGTAAACTTTAAATGTGTGACAATGAAGTTTTATCCGAGAGAGTAGTTATTTTTTCACGAGACAGCAGGCCTGGAGTTGTATACACTGTTCATCTTAGTGGCCGCATGGCTGAAGGAGGACGCGTCGTCAGCTGCGAGGAAGCGGAGGTTCTTCTCCGAGACGTCGACTCGTATCGTCTCTGTGGAGGTGCCGTGCCGACGAGCGACGTGCCAAGATCCTACCTTACAAAGGGCCTTGAGGGGCAAGTGGTCACCCGTGAGGGCACATACTTCAGCAACCGCTGCACAGGAAAAGAACCAACTGAAGGTGTGTATCAGTACCACTTGGGAAGAATTAAGAGTGTCATGCCAACATCGTCTTTGTCAAATCGAACATAGTAAATTGCGATGTCTGATGCATTGTTATTTAAGCTGAAAGATGTTTTTGGTTTCAATTTTAAATGTTTTCTTTTTTTCTTCACAGGACAAGCATGCATCTCCTGCCGATACCTGAGAAAGGCGCTTCTAACACGGCGGTCAAGGGTTCAGCGATCAGTCAAGAAGCACGTCCGAAGCATCACTCAGAAGCTCCGTGCGGCTCCGCAAAAGAACCGAAGACTGTTGTCTCGCAATGCTAACCTCCAAGCCCAGCTCAAGCAAATGCAAGATGATAATGCCTCAAAACCTGACGAAGTACTACAGGCAGAGATTGCAACCTTGCCTCCCAAGCAGCAAGAATGCGTTAGGCAGTGTTTTTCAGCAGCAAAGAAGAGAAGCTCGAAGGGAAACACCTACTCAAAGGACTGGGTTCTGGAATGTATCATGATGAAAATGAAAAGTGCCAGGCTGTATGAACATCTTCGCAAACACGACATCATTTCCCTACCAAGCAAAAGTACCTTGAAGCGCTACCTCAGAATCTACAAGAGCGGGTATGGTTTCAATCACAAGGTGCTGAAACAACTAAAGCAGAAAACGAGGCACATCAGTAGCTTTAAAAGACGTGGTGGCCTTTTAGTGGATGAGATCAAACTTTCTGAGCACCTCACTGTAACACCTTCTGGACACATTGAAGGCTTCGTTGACATGGGACCTACTATGACTGAGGGGCAGAATGTTGTCTGTGACCATGGCATGATCATCATGTTCGTCCCTTTCACTGGTAAATGGACTCAAATTATAGGTGCGTTTGCCACCAATGGAAATGCCAAGGCAGAGGAGCTTGCAAAAGTTCTAATAGAGACTACAATCCTGGCTGAAGCAAGCGGACTCATTGTTGATTTCCTCACTTCAGACGGTGCTTCATGGAACCGTCGAATGTGGAAAATCTTGGGAATCGGCGTTAAGTCAGGGAAAGTTACCTGCAAGCTTGAGCACCCTGTTGATTCATCTCGGCATCTCCATTTCCTGTCAGATTTTCCTCATTTACTCAAGTGCCTCAGGAATACGCTCCTCAAGTATCCATTGAACACCCCGGATGGAATGGTATGTGTTATTACTTCGTAACAAAACAAGCACTTTGCAATTTTGCTCTTTCTGATCTCGCGTTTCTTGCTATGCCGATGCAGAGTCATTTCATAAAAGCTATTATCAAAAGCATTTATATACTCGTGCTTAAACACGCATGTCTTTATGTGAAAAAGGCAATATGGATGCAATATGTTACGGCTACTGTTTCAGGTCTCCATGCGGCCTGTAAGGGAAGCATTCAAGAAAGACTCAAGCAATGTCACCCTGAAGGCGATGCCCGGTCTTACATCTGTCCACCTTCAACCAAATGGATTTGAAAAAATGAGGGTGTCCTTCGCCTTCCAACTCTTCGGAGACCGTGTCATCAACGGACTCCAGTTCTTCCAGGATGAGCTAGAGTCCTCGTGCAGCAGCTTCGATGCAACATTGTCCTTCTTTAGGTAAGCAGAAACCTGCTAATCAGTTAGTTTGCTGCCCTTTGACCTAATGAACCCGTCGGAGAAATAATGAAAACACGTGCTAAGTACCTTTGAAGGACTACCTGAGAGAAAATTTGTATTTGTTAAGTCTGTAGCCTCTGTTTACATTCCGGTATAATATTTTTAATTTTTACTGAGCAGAGCATGAAAATTTAATTTGTCTATCGCAGCAGTTTTGACTTGTATCGACAATGGGAAGTGCTAGCAAACTGTATGAGTCTATTTGTATTCTTTCAGAACCATCAACAACCTGATCAAGATCATGACTTCCCGCTTCACAGCAAAAGCTCTGCGTCCAGGGTCCAAAGAAGTGGAGTTCTTGAAGGAATTTCTTGATTTTTTGTCTTCTTGGGAGTCCCATGCAAAAGGAGTGGGGGGATTTTTGAGCGACTCCACAGCAGATGGCCTTAGGGTCACAGTATCCAGCACTTTAGCTCTCTTAGATTACCTCACAGCACATGGTTTCAGTTACCTCATGACATCTCGGTTAAGTCAGGATCCCCTTGAAAATTTATTTGGGATTGTCAGACAATCTAGTGGCTCCAACGACCATCCAACGCCAACGCAATTCTTAATTATTGTCAACTGCCTGTCTTTTTATAATTTGGCAAAAGTAGCAAGCTAGGGCAACGCCGAAGTCAATGAAGATGTCAGTTCTTTGCTCAATGCATCTGATGGCTCAACTGCAGAAGCCAAAGTTGCCGAAATCGACAAACAGATTGAGGCGGGAAACTTGGGGTCCGCAGAGTGCATCCTCCGTAGCGTTCCTAGCGAACACAAAGCATACGTAGAGCAAAAAAGTGATTCCCGGTTAATACATTACATGGCAGGGTATGTAGCTCGCAGGTTCCTTGCCCGCAGCAATTGTTCAGAGTGCCGCAGCCTTTTTTTGGGGAGCTCTTCCGACAAGGAAAACTGCGGGTTTACGAAAATTTGCGACAAAGGTGGGCTTTTGTATCCTTCCCACGCTCTCTTCCTCGCCGTGAAGAAACTGGAGGATATTTTTACTTTCTTTTTCAGTAAAACGAAGCTGTGCAGCAACAGCATTGTCGATATTATGTTGCTGGTGGAATCCCGCTTCCGCCATACCATAGGCTGCAGCCAACATGCAAGTGTGCTCACGGCAGCATTGGTAAAGTTTTACGTTTTAACAAGGCTTCACTTTTATGTGAAAGGGCTGAACCAGTCGCGAGAATCGCGTAGAAAAAAAAAGATGCACAAAAAATCAGTCGCTGCTCTTAGCTAGGATTGCTCCAAACACGCCCTACGTTGCCCTTCGAGAGTAATAGAAATGTAAATACTGTAAACGACTTAATTTTTGCGAATCGCCTACAAATTGCGAAAAATGGGTCCCTCGAACAATTCCGGTAAAATGTAAACACATTGGAATCTATAGTGAGATCCCACCTTGTCGCAAAAATTAGGTCCCCCAAACAATTCCGGTAAAATGTAAACACATTGAATCTATAGTGAGATTCCACCGTGTCGCGAAAATTGGGTACCTCGAACAATTCCGGTAAAATGTAAACACATTGGAATCGATAGTGAGATTCCACCGTGTCGCGAAAATTGGGTACCTCGAACAATTCCGGTAAAATGTAAACACATTGGAATCGATAGTGAGATTCCACCGTGTCGCGAAAATTGGGTACCTCGAACAATTCCGGTAAAATGTAAACACATTGGAATCGATAGTGAGATTCCACCGTGTCGCGAAAA